TGCTGGCAAACCTACCTGCAGAGATTCAGAATAGAATCCCTACAGTGTGAAAATGGGCCCTACAGTGTGAAAATGGGCCCTTCAGCCCAACAAGTCCACACCGACCATCAGAGCATCCCCCGCTGGGCCTATCCCCCTCCATCCCCCTATAATCCACCTGAACAATTTAGCATGGCCAATCCACCTAGCGTGCACATCTTTGGACTGTGGGAGGAAACCGGAGCACCTGGAGGAAACCCATGCAGACACGGGGAGAATGTGCAAACTCCACACAGACAATCACCCGAGGGTGGAATCGAACCCAGGTCCCTGGCGCTGTGAGGCAGCAGTGCTAACCACTGAGCCACCGTGCTGCCCCGATGGTCCCAGTGTGGTTCAGGTGCCGACCTTCCCATTTGTACATCTTTCGTCTTCACCAAGGACAGTCCCAGTGATCCAGGAATCTAAAACCCTCCCTCTTGCATCAACTCTTGGACCATGCATTCGTCTGTCCTAATCTGTTTCTAAACTCGCTAGCACATGGCACTGGGAGTAATCCAGAGTTTACAACCATTGGAGGTTCTGCTGTTTAATCTATTGCCTGACTCCCTGAATTCTTGATGCAAGACCTCATTCCTCACTTTGCCTATATCATTGGTACCAACATATACCATGACCACTAACTCATCATCCTATTCTTTCAGGATGCCCTGCAGCCATTCGGTGAAATCATGAACCTTGCACCATGCTGGAGTCACACCTTCAGAATTGGCTGCAGAAACACCTGTCTGCTGCCCTGACTAAAGAATCCCCTATCATTGTTTTGCCCTTCCCCAGGAAAATCAAGCCACTTGTGCCAGAAGCTTAGCTTTGACTTCATTCCTCCGAGGTACCAGTACCCTCATTAGCTTCCAAAATGGAATACTGGTTAGTGAGTGGGACCCCAGGGGACTCTGCTACCTGCCTGTTCTTTTTGGACCATCTGGTGGTCGCCCATTTCCTTCTTTCCTCAAGACCCTTGAGTTGCAGTGTGACCACTTCTTTAGGTTTGCAATCCACATAACTCTCAACCTTGCAAATGTGCTAGAGTGTCTCCAATCGCTGCTCAACTCCAAGACCTGGAGCACTTCTGCACGTGTGGTCATATAGGACATTGTGAGATTGCGTTCAGAGAACTAGATGACCAGGGAGTGGCGAAAATAGCCTCTTTATTGCACATTCACAGCAGCACGATGTAAGGCGAAATAGAATCCCAAAATCATAGCTCGAAAGCAGCCATTTTATACAGAATTCAAGCATACATTAACATTTTAACATTTGAGTGTTAAGCAGTAGATATTGTACAAAAACTGTTTTGCAGGAAATCTGAGATGGTTTAAACATGTGCTAAATGTTACCGGTTATTGTTGAGTGTTAATGGTTATTTTAATGAGATTAGAGTGTTTGTCTGGTTTGACCTTGCATAATTCACAAGGTGTTAGTCTTGTTATTTTCAAGGTTAGAATTTTAAAGTTAGAAAGAGGCATCTTGTTTTTTAAAAAAGTCTGAGTTCCCAACAGTTTTGTCTGTGGTTTTATTCACTATCGCTTGTTTAATTAGTTTCGTGGTTGCATCCATCTCTGGGTTTTATTTACTATCATTCATTCGGTTTCATGGCCACACCTGTTGAAGTAGTGCTGTCAGTTTTATTCATTCATTTGTTCAAAGTCGCGCGGGTCTGGACGTAGCGTCGTTAGTTTTATTAGTAAGTTAAAGGTTGCTTACATACACTGCATAGCGTTTGTTAGTTTTATTAGTGGGATAAAGTTTTATATACATGTTGAATAAAAACTTAGGACAAGTTGAATCAGAGATAGTAGGAACTGCAGATGCTGGTGAATCCGACACAACAAGGTGCAGGGCTGGATGAACACAGCAGGCCAAGCAGCATCATAGGAGCAGAGAGGCTGACGTTTCGGGCCTAGACCCTTCATCAGAAAAGGGGGAGGGGAAGGGGGTTCTGAAATAAATAGGGAGAGAGTGGGAGGCGGATAGAAGATGGATAGAGGAGAGGATAGGTGGAGAGGAAACAAACAGGTCGAAGAGGCGGGGTTGGGGCCAGTAAAGGTGAGTGTAGGTGGGGAGTTAGGGAGGGGATAGGTCAGTCCAGGGAGGATGGACAGGTCAAGGGGGCGGGATGAGGTTAGTTGGTAGGAGATGGAGGTGCGGCTTGAGGTGGGAGGAGGGGATAGATGGGAGGAAGAACAGGTTAGGGAGGCAGGGACGAGCTGGACTGGTTTTGGGATGCGGTAGCAGGAGGGGAGATTTTGAAGCTTGTGAAATCCACATTGATACCATTGGGCTGCAGGGTTCCCAAGCGGAATATGAGTTGCTGTTCCTGCAACCTTCGGGTGGCATCGTTGTGGCACTGCAGGAGGCCCAGGATGGACATGTCGTCTGAGGAATGGGAGGGGGAGTTGAAATGGTTCGCGACTGGGAGGTGCAGTTGTTTATTGTGAACCGAGTGTAGGTGTTCTGCAAAGCGGTCCCCGAGCCTCCGCTTGGTTTCCCCGATGTAGAGGAAGCCACACCGGGTACAGCGGATGCAGTATACCACATTGGCAGATGTGCAGGTGAACATCTGCTTGATGTGGAAAGTCTTAGGACAAGTACCTGGTTACATAATATATAGGAAAAGTCTGCAGGGAAGTAACTTTAAAAGGAAGAGGGCTATCCAATTATCACCTTTGACTGATACTTGGAGCTAATCTAGCTGGAGGGAGAAAATAAACAACTTGGTAGTAGAACAAAGAGCAAAGAAAATTATAGCACAGGAACAGGCCCTTCAGTCCTTCAAGCCTGTGCCGATCCAGACCTCTATCTAAACCTGTCACCTATTTTCCAAGGATCTGTATCCCTCTGCTCCCTGCTCATTCATGCATCTGTCTAGATACATTTTAAATGACGCTATCGTGCCCGCCTCTACCACCTCCGCTAGTAACGCATTCCAGGCACCCACCAGCCTCTGCGTAAAGAACTTTCCACGCATATCTCCCTTAAACTTTTCCCCCCTCACCTTGAAATTGTGACCCCTAGTAATTGAGTCCCCCACTCTGGGGGAAAAAGCTCAAATAATATCAAATAACACTGTTTTTGGTGTGGGGGTGCAAAAAGGTTCCATCCTGTCGTGTCTGTGCAGCTTTGTTAGCCGTCATGCCTGACTGCACCTTTGACTGGAATGTTGGTCTTGTTTAAATGGGGTTGTTTACATGCGCGTTATGCATGAATGCACTTTCAAGTGGGGTGTAACTGCAAATTGAAGTGGTTGTAACCTGATACGGTAGCGAACCCCTGAATTAGTTTGAATGGGGGCTGGTTAGTACGTGGAAATCTGCAGTTAGTATTATAACCACGAATTAATGGGTTAATGGATTAATATACATGATTTATGGAGTTATATTAAAAGTTGTTAACACCTTTGAATTCTGATATATCAACAGTATGTGGAAAATATTGAAACATTTTCCATAATTTTACTACATTTGATACAGAATCTTCAATAGGTCCCCTCTCTGTCCATCCTGGACCCAGTGGATTGTTTACTCATTTCAAAAATAAAATGGTGAACGTTCCTGGCAAGGAAATAGTGGACTTGACACAGCAGACCAGAGAATTGTACTGAGGGGACAGTTGAGTTACTGGCAGAAGGAACAGGTAATCATAGAATCCCTACAGTGTGGAAGCAGGCCATTTGGCCCATCGTGTTCACATGACCCTCCAAAGAGCATCCCTGTAACTCCTCTTTTACCATGGCTAACCCACCTAGCCTGCGCATCCGTGGACACTACGAGCAATTTAGTCCACCTAATCTACACATCTTTGGACTGTGGGAGGAAACTGGAGCACCTGGAGGAAACCCATGCAGACGTTGGGAGAATATGCAAACTCCATATAAACAGTTGCCCCAGGCTAGAATTGAACCTGGGTTCTTGGTGCTGTGAGGCAGCAGTGCCACCCCATTGAATGGGTGGTGAGTTTTGGAGCACTAGAGAAATGAACTTCATTAAGGTATTATAGGGACAAAGTTTTGATCTGGGAGGGATGTGATCCAGTTTTGGAGTGTCAAAGGCATGTTCTGCCTCTTGGGCTGGAGTTTGTAGCAGAAGCTAGATTGATGGATATGCTGCCAGCTACTGACTTTGCTTGGACCTGGTGTGGCCAGTGACTAGAGACAGCAGGCAAGCACCTAGAGAGTAGGGTTTCCAGCTCTGTCCATATTGGTGTACCTTTGTTACTCAGATTACCTCCAGTGTCATTCTTGATATTCAATTCAATCTTGCAAAGAGGTTTGGCAGACATAGCCCAGGCTAATTAAAATGTACGCTGTCGTATCAATCCGGGGTGCATGCAAGGTTATATATGGAATAAAACTCCCTTTGCACTGTTCACATCAAGAATTCCAAGGACAGATGCAGCACACAGTTAGATACAAAAGTAAAGCTCTATGTACTTTTTTGAACTGACGGTAAAGCTCCCCATCACAGTCCCTATCAAACAGTCCCAGGACAGAGACAGCATGGGGTGAGGCACAGAGTAAATGCCCCTCTGCCCTTTCAATCAGAAAGTAAAGCTCCTGTACTCCTTTTTTATTTAAATGGAAAGTGAACCTCCCTTGACATTGTCCCTATCAAACTCACCCAGAACAGGGACAGCATGGAGTTAGAGACAGAGTAAACGTCCCTCTAGTCTTTTTAACTGAAAATAAAGCTTCCTGTATGCCGTACCCATCAAACGTTCCCAGTACAGAGACAAATTGGAGTTAGATACAGATTAAAGCTCCCTCTATAGTGACCAATTCAAACACTCCCAGGTGGGTACAGTGCAGAATAGAGGAAAATCCCCTATCTGCACTAAACAATGAAACATTCCCAGGTGAAGTGAAAGGAATGTCCTATTCCCTATGCCACTCATGTCTTTTTTTCCTCCTTGACGAAGGAAATGGTGATAACATAACTGATGGTTTTGCCCTCTTTCTTGTGCAGGACCCCGTTGGGCCGAGCTCGTGCTTGGTTACGACTTGCCATGATGCAGAAGAAGCTGGCGGATTATCTGCGATGCATGATCATCAGGCGGGATCTGTTCAGGTATTTCCTTTTCTGTTTGTCTATTATGTAATGTGAGAATTGTAAGAGTCTCTGCATGTATGGGCAGGTTGTTAAAGTGATACTGGATGGGCTCTGGCTTGTGCCTGCTCCATGTTGTGGTTCCCTCTTTGAGTTGTGCTATCAATGAAGTGGTAGAGCTTTATGTTCTGTGTAGGGAGGTTCACTGGTGACACACAGCCCTTTTTTTTCACCTGTAGCTGCCTAGTGATGTTTGGTTATAAAGGGGCACCAATTTAAGACTGATAAGGAGGAATTTCTTCTTTGAAGGTGGTGAATCTTTGAAATTCTTTGACACAGCTGTGGGGGAAAGAGTGCTTTTATCAATTTAGAGTTGATACAAATTCATGATCAGTAGGGGAATTTAGGATTATGGGGAAAAGGCAGGAAAGGGGACACGAGGAATGTCAGGTCAGTCATGATTCTTTTGAATGGTAGAGCAGGGTCAGGCCCTATTCTTGTTCCTACGTCTTATGGTCTTCCATGCACCTGTTTCTTCTCGAATTGAGTGCGACTCATCTGGCTGGCCCCATCGTTGAGATTGTTTCAGATCAGTGTTGATAGGTTTGCACATGGTTTGAGATTGATCTGTGCTCCCTGAGTCAGGGTTCAACTAAAAGGCCTGTACTGAGATAAGTGAATTGATCCTGGTTGCAAGCAGCAATGGGACTGTAGGACAGAATCTTCTACAGTTTGAGAAAGCCGCCATGATGGGTGAGAAAAAGAAGGTTCGAATGCTGATGGCTCTGTGGTGGAGCAGGCTGTATGTCCGTCCATACAAATGGAGAATCACACCGGCAAGATACAAAGTATTGTTAGTAACCAAACTCCAGCAAGTTATTACATTGGGACAGAGGGAGAGAACATTTGAACATGGTCTTAACTGAAATAGTTGGTAAAAGTGAAACTTTATTCAGACAACTGCCCTGTAATGTAGTGGACCAAACTGAAAGGTGAGACACTAAGTCATGGTCCTGTGTGCTACTTTGATTACAGTGAGTTTTATGAGGAGCATGCGGTAATGATGGAAGAAGAAGGGGCAGTGATTGTTGGACTGCTTGTCGGACTCAATGTCATTGATGCTAACCTGTGTGTCAAGGGAGAAGACCTGGATTCACTGGTAAGACTATTGTCAATATTAATAGTTGACACTGAATCTGAAATCCATTGCCATTATTGCCACCTTGCTGGCTGGTACAGGACAGCAGATCTGTTGGCTCAGTGGCATTGGTTTCTTGAATTCTTTCTTGAAGGTGCTGACTCAAACTGGGGGGCCTTTCCTGAGGGTGCTCAATGGATTATAAACTAAGTTAAAGGTAGCTTTGATCCTTACTGTGAGAAATAATATTCCAATTAGTTACACTTAATTTATTTGAGAATTTATTTAACACTGTTAGATAATGGTGGCTTTTACTGGCAACAGTTAACCTGGCTAGATCTTCATGGAGTCTAGTGTCGGAAATTTATTTTACGTGAGGTATGAGATTCCAACTGAATCTGATGTCTTCACTTTTGCAATAAAGGTCATTGAATAGTAATCAGGATCAGTAACCGAATTCAGGCTCAGTGGTGACTGTGTAAGAAAAAGCACGTTATCTGCAAACAGAAACCACAATATGCTCCATAGGACTCAGCAATGTTAATTTTTTTTAGGGATTTGTTTGGAGAACTGAACATAATGGGACATTAGAGAGACCGTGAATGTTATGAAAGTAAAACATGCTATAGAATTAATGAAAGAGAGTCTCAAGTAGGTATATAGACCAATAGAAAAGCAATGGATTAACAGGGTGATCAGAACTAGTGTGGAACTCAATCTCCATATTATCAAACTAGAATGTTGAATTCAGACAAAAATTCAAACAGTTCAGTCCAGGACCACAGTGGCCAAAAGAATCAGTACTGTCATCTGAAAGACATTTCAAATCTGTTGGTCTTTGATGGGCTGAAGATAAGGTCAATCCAGGAACTGCAAGGCAATGAGTTTCTCAAATGCTATTTGGTAAAGTATTAATCGTGGAATTATGGCACTGGAGTGCAGAGGCATCCTTTAGCTCATCTTGTCCCAAGCAAATATGTTCTGTATTAATTGTTATGTCCCCTGGTTCTGTATCAATCTCACTGTGCCGCTGTCTCCTCTTGTACTAATCCCGCTGCGTTTTATTCTTCCCCTGGTTCTGTATTAATCCCAATGTCCTGTGCTGCCACTGCACCAATTTAGTTGTTTCAATCTCCAAATGTCACTGGGAAACTGTTCTAACTCCTGTGGAAACAAAGAAGATTCTTCCTGCCTTATGCTGACTGGCATGTAGATGTTCCATTCTCGAAGGATGGGAGGCTACGGGGAATATATTGTGAGGTTCAGGCCATGTTTCTTAATTAACGTCTGACAGATATCAATAATAAAACTGGTATTCAAGTAAGTAAGCAAAAGAGGAGTCCCATCCTTAAACATTTAAAATAAGAGGCTGGCAAGCCCATAATTAAGAGGGTCTAAGGTTCTGTTTTTGATGCTGGATGGTGTTCTGTTCACTCCTCTGAACTAGATTACCTATAAGCATAAGTTGATATCTCTAAATTGGGAAGAGGCATCAGTTTTTTTTCTCCTAATCTTGAATTCAGGAACCCTGACCCTGACACACATCATTGTTAGCTGAGGATGAGATAGGGGCAGCCTCGACTGTTGTCTTAACCTAGCCTGTATAGTAAGATGCTAGTGCTAAACCTTCCAGCTCATTTGGAGGATGCATTTGGGTAGTGGATGTGTCAATGATCAATTAACTTGGTATGTTCAGAGGAGGAGACATTACATGTAGAATGCAATATGTCAACTGAATCTAGAGACCAGTTATTCTAGTAACTGGAATTCTGCACCTGGGTATGAACCAAAGGCATAGTCTCACCTCATTCTCAATTGCCCTACAGGTTGGAGTCATTGACTTCTCCATGTACCTGAAGAATGATAATGACAGCAATGGATGCTGTGAAAGGTAATGCTCACAAACAAAAACGAATCTCGTTCTCACCAATCTGCATATGATTGCACCTTATTAGTAAGAATCTTCTATAAGTAGCTGCAGGTAAATCTGAGGTTGTAGACTTGCTCGCTGACATCACCCTGCTCGGTAACATTGTCAGTATACCTCTGGTGCCATCACAACCCAAGCGACAAATCATCTCAAGCTTTGCAGGTAAAGCTCCTAATTGAAGATGTGTTTCAAATCGCTGAACCACAAATTCTGATCCCAGTGGGTCACTGACCTGCACACACTGACCCGGGTGGATCACTGACTCCTAAATATTCTAACTGGAGTGAGTCTCTTAGCCTTGTTGCAATGTTTGTTCATCTGAGACAGGAACCTATAGCAGTCCACTGCTGCACTGATCTTCCAGGCTGTGAAATATTGAAGAATATTACAGACCCACTCCTCCCACCACCCCCACCCCCCATAACTTCTGACAATGCTTCTACAATCAGTTGTTGAAACATTAAGCATTTGCATAGATCAAGGTTTAGTGACGATGCCCATGAATGTGGAGTTTATTTTGCATTCATTCTTCCACCTTGCATTGTGAAACTAATTGAGTTACCAGTGTATATTCTTCTTTTGTGACGTTCTTGGAATTATCTTCCATTCAGAGATGGACAGATCGCTGCGATTCTGGATCAGAAGAACTATGTGGAAGAACTCAATCGACAGCTGAGGTAGATTCCTATGTGAATGTTTGATCTTTGCTTCATGCTGGAGGCAGTAGCCCTCTGTTTTGTAAATCAAAAGGTTTTCGATTTTAATGGGCTGTGACAATACAAAATGATTTTGAAGTTGGTTGTAAATTCTCACACCTCAATCAAGGCACTACATGTCCAAGAACAGTGGTGGGAACAACAGAGATACCCCAATCTGTCTGTTTGAAGGTAGAAGTTCAGTATTTGTGTATATAAATGTATACCTATTGAAATTTACTTATTTTCTTATTGGACCATGGTGTACCTGTTGAAATTTATTTATTTTACTATTGTACCATGGTCACCTTTCTGTTAGATTTCTGCCACAGAAAAAAGTGGTTAAGTGCTCCCAACTGTTACCGTTTAGCTTTCTTAATTAGAATGTATTGGAAGTACTTCAATCAGTCTCATCAATGTCACTTTCTATTCATCAAGTGTAGCATAGAATAGAATCCCTACAGTGTGGAAACAGGCCATTCGGCCCAACAAGCCCACACTGACTCTCGGAGCAGCCCACCCAGACTCGTTCTGTCCTTATAACCCTGCATTTCCCATGGCTCATCCACCTAACCTACACATCACTGTAATGATACCAGTAAATGTGAGAGTGTAATAATGTGAAAAATATTCTGATTGAGGTCATGGTGAAGTTTGCTGAAAAAGACATTTTGTTGAAGCTTTTTGTTGTGCTTTCATCAGGACACTTCACCCAAAAAAAACCAACAGAGGGGAAACAACATTTATGGATGAGAGTGCTGATTGGTTGGCATTTTGGTAGAGACATTTCCAGGAAAATATTTAATGTTAAAAATGACTGACCATATAATATGTTTTCTATATATAATTCAAAATAGATGTTTTTTAAAACAGTTTTGCCTTGCACCTTTAGGACACTTCCCCAGAAATAAAAGTGTAAAGGGAAAACTATATTTTTATCACTCAGCAGTATACGAGTTCTATACTACCAACTTAATATGAGCCAGTAGTAATGGAATGTAGAATTAACAAGAATGTTGCCAGAAGAACTGTAGAATTATAGAAGCCCTATAATGTGGAAAGAGACTATTTGGCCCATTGATTCTGCACTGATCCTCTGAAGAGTATTCCTCCCAGACCCAGCCCCCTACCCTGTGCCCGCAACCCTGCATTTACCATCCACCTAGCCTACACATCCCTGGACTGTACGGACAGTTTAGCATGGCCAATCCACCTAACCCACACCTTCTGTGGGAGGAAACTGTAGCACTCGGTGGAAAAGCATGCAGGTACAGGAGAATGTGCAAACTCCATGCAGACAGTCACCCGAGGCTGGAGTTGAGTCCCTGGCTCTGAGGCAGCAACGCTAACCACTGAGCCATCATGCCGAAGGAGAAGGGGTTCAAACAAAGAATGCAAAGAGTCAGATTTTCAAAATATCAGCTTGGTAAAATGTGCAAAGTGCTTTTCACAGGGATTGGTATTGGATTCAATCTTACTCCGTATATGGAGGGAAAAGATGAGAATTGAATGAATAGCATTGACGTTTGCAGGGACTTGAGTGAGTGTGGTAGAAGCATAGAAAATAGGTCCAGGAGTAGGACAGTTGTCTTTTCAGCATCACCATTCAATATCATCATGGCTGATCATGCAATTTCAGTGTCCCACAGCCTCTTTCTCTCCTTACCCCTTGATCCCTTTAGCCACAAAGGGCCATGTTCGACTCTCTCTTGGGGGGGAGAAAACCTAACGAACTGGCTCCAGCAGCTTTCTGTACTAGAGAATTCCACAGATTCTGAGTGAAGTTCTTCCTTATCTCAATCTTGAATGGCTTACCCATTATTTGACTGTGAGCTCTACTTCTGGACTTCCCCGAACAGTAAAAAGTAGAACGGTGAAAGAACAACAGGGAATATCTGTACTCGGGTGCAAGGTAAGAGATCTAATGACAAAAAGTTTTGTGGCAGTGGGTAAAGAAATACAAAATGTGTCCAATCAGTGTGAATGACTGGATAACAACTGTCAAAGGCAAAAGAAGAAATAAAGAAATGAGCCAGCAACGATCCATGAAACAAAATGGAGGTGGAGGTTATGATCAAAAGTTGATCAACCTAAGGTTGAGTGGAGACTAAAATGTCCAATCAAAAAGTGAGGTGCTGTTCAAGCTTACATTGAGCTTTGCTGGAATATTGCACAAGTCAAGGTCAGAAACATCAGAATGGGAACAAGGTGAAGAATTAAGATAACAAGGTGCAGAGCTGGATGAACCCAGCAGGCCAAGCAGCATCATCGGAGCAGAATTAAGATGACAGGTCACAGGGAGCTCAGGTTCGTGCTTGGGACTGAACTGACTCAAGGCATTCTCCCAGTCTGCAATGTAGAGGAAGCCATATTGTGAACTGAGAATACAGCATAACATAATACTGTTCAATGGGGAGTGCACCAGACATGCCAGGAGCAACACCAGGCATACCTAGAAGAATTGTCAACCTGCTTAAGCCACCAAATAGGTCTACTTGTCTGCTAGACAGCATAAACAGCAAGTGAGAGAGCTAAGCGATTCCACACCAATGGGTCAGATCTAAACTGTTCAGTCCTGCCACACTCAGTTGTGAATGATGGTGGACAATTAAACAACACACTGGAGGAAGAGGCTCCACAAATACCTTCATCCTCCATGATGGAAGAGCACATCATACCAGTCTTCAGCCAATTCACTCCAAGGACAATTACTCCATGATATCAAGAAATAGTTTTGGATATGGCAAAGGCTGTGGGCATTGACAAAGTTCTGGCAACAATGTGGAAAATTGCTTGCAAATGTCCTGAGCGCACAAAGCAAGATAAATCCAATTACTTTCCCAGTTGTGTACTCTTGATTTCCAGTAAGGTGTTGGAAAGTGTAATCAATTTTGCTAATAAGCAGCATCTGCTCACTGACATTCAGTTTGAGTTTTTGCCAGGGCCACTTTGGCCCCTGACCTCATCTAGCCTTGGTTCAAACAAAAGAGCTAAATTCCAGAAGTGACGTGTGAGTGACTACCCTCGACATCGAGCCACATTTGACTGAGTTAATCATCCAGGAGCCCTAACAAAACTAGAATCGGGGAAAACTCTGTTGGTTGGAGTCATACTTGGCAAGTAGGAAGGTGGTTGTGGACGTTGGAGGTCAGTCATCTCACTCCAGGACATCTTTGCAGGAGTCCTTCAGGGTGGTGTCTTAGGTCCAGTCCTCTTCAGGTGCCTCAACAACAACCTTCCCTCCGTCATACGGTCAGAGGTGGGGATGCTTGCTAATGAGTGTACAATTTCCTCACTGTTTGCAACTCCTCAGATACTGAAGCAGCTTATGTCAAGTAGAACAAAACATGATATTATCCAGTCTTCGACTGAAAATTGGCAAGTATCATTCATGCCAGGCAATGACCATCTTCAATAAGTGACAAGCTCATCACTGCCCCTTGACAGTCAGTGGAGTTGCCATTGCTAAATCCCTCACTATCAGCACCCTTGGAGTTACTATCGACCACAAACGCGACTGGATTCGCCATATAAATATGATGGGTACAAGAGCAGGCCATAGGCTAGGAATACTGCAGTGAGTAACTTAGCCCCTGATTTCCCAAAGCCTATCCACCATCAACAAGGCCCAAGCCAGGAGTCTGGAATACTCCCCACTTGCTTGGGTGAGCACCTGTCCAACAACACATTTGACATTGTCCTGGACAAAGCAGTTGGTTTGATTGGCTCTGCATCCACTCCACCACCACTGATGCTCAGTGATGTGTACAATCTACAAGATGCACTGTAGAATTTCACCAAAGATCATTAGACAGCACTTTCAAACCCATGACTAGTTTCACCTAGAAGGACCAGGACAGCAGATACATTGGAACACCACCATTGCAAGTCACTTCCAAGCCACTCACCATCTTGACTTGTATTGTTTGATCGGAATGCTGGAATTCCCTCCCTCGTGGCATTGTGGCTCTAACTACAGTATGTGAACTGAAGCGGTTCAAGAAGGTAGCTCATCACTGCCTTCTCAAGGGCAATTAGGGATAGGCAATGAATGCTGTCCAACCAATGATGTCCAGGTCCCACGAGTGAATTAAAATGAATTGAAAGAAGTAGAAGTAAATTGCTATATCACTTGGAAAATAAAATTTTAGGCTTAGAGTAGTGAGAAGGCATAGGGTGAAAGTAAATGCTGCATCTCTTGTGCTCTCCCTGGTGCCAAAGGGAAGGAGTATTGGGGTAACTGTGAAGTGGACCAGGAGGAAATGTTACTTAGGAATACCGAAAGGGGAAGATGAATTTGGTGATGACATCACGTTCCAGTGCATTGATAGTTAAACATTATCTGGGATCATTGCTCAGGCATTCGCTGAAGGCATCTTTGACACTTGGGCATTAGCTTCTTGGAGGGGGAAGGGATCTTTTGACACAGGCATTAGCTGGGGGATGTTGTCGACTCTTGGGCATTAGCTGAGGGTGGGGGAGGTTGTGATAATAGCTTTGGTTTGGAATGTAAACTGGCAGTGGCCATTGACACCAACTGCAAAAGTGAAATTGCTTTGCTTTGCACACTTGATAAGTTGACTACGTGTCTCCTTTATCACAGGGTAGGGTTGCTGTTTATACAAAAAAGAATTTAATATTCATTTTTGTTAACAGAATGTACACGCAAATTCAAAATGAGCTCCAAGTGGACAAGAACCCCATCCCCTGATTGAAGTTACTAAAGTTATCTTGTAGATTAAATTCATGATAAACTATTTTTGGCCAATTATCTCTTCCATTTCATACTCAGCACACCTCCAGGTTATTTCATTGAATATATTAATACTATTCTTTGCATCTACTTTTCAGTTCAACAGTTGGCAGCCTGCAGGGCAGAGTTGACTCACTTGAGAAGGCAAACTCTAAACTAATTGAAGAGGTATTGCTTCTAAGTTTTTGCTTTTTAACATCCTGTGATGTTTAAACATTTCATGCTTTCAGTCATGTCAGAGATTTTACGTTTTAAATAGTGAATATTTTAAGATGATTGCTATTACCTTTTGGAGTGCTGACGTTTATAAAAGTGTTGGGTGTAGTTCAGTCCCCATCTGTTACATTCTGGGATGACTTGCACATGATGGAGACCCACTCTACTTGAAGATTACTCAAGAAGTAGTGCTGGTGCTCTGTTGGCATAATTTATCCCCTTAAATCCAGGTGTAATGCTGTTATATTGTACACTTATACACAAAACTCACGGTTTCAAAAAGAAGTGAAAATCTCTCTCTCCGATATGATGTGCTAGAATTGGTCAAATGTGGGGTCTGCTTATACACAGTACTTAAAAGAGCTTAATGACATTGAGGAGAATGAGCGCAGTGGTTTCTGGCTACTGTCTGCTGTCTGATTTTGGGCAGAACAATGGCAGATAAAATGCACTGTTATGATGAAATTCTGGGAGATCTAATAAGGGAAGAGTGTACACAATGAATAGTAGGTCCTTAGGAGTACTGAGGAACAAAGGAGCTTCTGTGTGCAAGTTCATTGATCCCAGAAGGTGTCAGCACAGGTGATGAAGGTGTATGAGACGCTTGGCTGCATTAGCTGGAGTGTAGAATATAAGAGCACGGAAGTCTTGATACAACTTTATAAGACATTGCTTAGGCCACGGTTGGAATACCGTGTGCATGTCTGGTTACCACACATGAAAGAACGTGATTGCACTGGAGAGGGTGCAGAGGAGATTCACCAGGATGTGGCCTGGGTTGAAAAGTCTGTTTTGAGGAGACACTGGATAGGCTGGGTTTGTTTCCTTTGGAGCAGAGGAGGATGATGGGGTCGGAAATCTGATTGAAGTATACAAAATTGAGAGGCAAAGATAAGTTAGATCATGAGAATCTCTTCCTCAGGCAGATGTGTCTAAGATCAGAGGGTGTACGTTTTTAAGATGAGGAAGCGGCTTAGAGAAGCACTGAAATCATTTATTCACTGAGGATGGTAGAAGTATGGAATGTACTGCCCTAGACGGTTGTGGAGGCATGTTTGAAATGTCAGGGCATAGTTGGCAACAGATCAAGTGCACATAAATGGGATTAGTGCAGTTAGGAGTTTCAGTATAGATATGGTTGGCTGAGAGGCCTGTTTCGAGGCTGTATGACTGAGTAGGAATGTAAGGCGATGCTATGTACTTTCAATACGTAAGTATAAGTAGAAAGTTGTGCTGAATTCTGACTATCTGTTGCTCTCTTCCTTGTAGTTGGCAATCGCCAAGAACAGCATAATTCGATTGCAAGAAGAAAATGTTCAGTTTCGCAATGAAAATATCCAAATGTTAATGAAAACCCAGCAACATCTGGAGGTGTGTGGGCTCCAGACTGTCGATGTGTTGCTTCAAAGATTCATGAAAACAAATAAAATTAGGATGCAAAACCTGTCTCCGCTTTGCCTCCCTCTCTTCATACTCCTCCCAATCTCAACCCCCCCCACCCCCAAAACATTTGAAACCTTTCTCCCTTACCCTCTCCCACTTCCTGCAAAGTTTGACTTGTGCCATCCCCTCCTACTCATTTAAATACAGGCCCCTTCTATGTCAAATTCTTCTGTCCATTATTTGTTCCTTGGCCCATCTCCAGACCCCCCCCCCCCCCCCCGCCTTCAGTTCCATGCTCCCTCCTTGACCTGAGTCCTTTCTCTGAACCCCTTTCTCAACTTTGTTTTCTGTTCTCTTCCCGCTCCCCGCCAACCTTCCCTCCCACCCTTTTACAGGTGAAGTGTGCTTGAGTAGGGAAAAGGAACAGAGGTTATGTATGAATGGGAGTGAGTGTAGGAGTTGGGGTTGTGAAGGAGGGTGAGAGAATGTATATTTATGATATTGCTAGCATGACCTGTTAATACTGACTCATGTGAATACTGACTACCAAGTGAAATACCATAGTTTGCCTGCTCCTTCTGCTCTGCATTGCAATGAAAATTGCCACAGGTATGAGGAGGAGTAAATTTAGCTTGTGTGCAGTTACTGGATGTGGGGAACTCTGCAGAAGTGAATCCTTTTCCAACTATATTCTTGCAGCTACTCCTTGTTACTGCATCTTTGTCTCACAGAAGCTGTTATCTATTTAGCTGGTGAAACTGGATGTGTCTGCGGAGCTGGAGACTTACAAGGGCACCAGGCAGGGACTGGACGACATGTTCACTGAGGCCCGGCGACAGCTGAGGGAGGAGTCACGTATGCGTCAGGTGTGTGACCTTTAGCTGATTGCCTTTCATGTCATGGTTTCCTGCAGATGGTGATTGCTTAGAATTCCTATACTAATCATAGGTCAGGCACTGACTCCCATTGTCCTCGTGTGCTACTAGTATGTTGTCCTCTTAAAGTGAACTTCCTTCACACAGTCGTTCTGGGTTATCTCTATACATTTCCTCTATCAGGTTGCCCCTCTGAATTCTCGAGGAAATGATGACATTTCAGAACAATAAAAGATAGATATTGAGCAGATCCCCTGTTCTGATCTAAGCAGGTATTAGGAGAATGAAGACATAGCCAAAGGTTGGGTCTTAACAAATTATTTAATGTGGGAAGGAATGTCATAATCTAGATGGGATCAGGAAAAGGTTAGGGTGGCTATGACTGATGGTGAAAAGGAGGAAGTAATGTACTTTGGCCACAGTTATGAGTGGAACAAAGATGCAGCATTCTCACAGTTTAGGGGAGAGAGCTCGAGGCATTTCATAAACCTTTTTATGTGAAGGCTTTGTTTGTTGTCGCTGCCACTACAACTCCAGAGCACCCATTCACCACATGTGCAAGCCCTGCCATTAAAAGTCATACTTTTGAATTGAAAAATATGCTTTAAGACATTATAGTGACTTTGAGGAAAGAAGCGAAATTACCTTAGCGAGATTTGCAGATAACACTAAATTAGATTGAAAGGCAGGTTTCAAGAGGGATGCAAACCATTTAGAGAAATATTGATAATTAAGTGGTCAAAAAGTTGGCAAATGGTGAATAATGTGAGAAAATTCAGAATTATTTATTTTGAAAAGTAGAACAAAAGAACAGTATATGTTTAAATGGAGAAAAACTGCAGGCAGCTACAAGTTAAAGGGACTTGGGAATACTTGTGCATGAAACAAACAGGTGCAGCAGGTAATCAGAAAGGCTGATGGAATGTTGACCCTTCTTTCAAATGGGTTGGAGTATGAGAGTAGGGAAGTCTTACTACAACTATACAAGCTGCTGGTGAGACTACATCTGGAATACTGTAAGCAGTATTGGTCCCTTCGTTTAAGGAAGGATATTGTTTCATTGAAAGCCATTCAAAGAAGTTCACCAGGATAATCCCTGGTATGGAACGATCCTCTGGAACCAGAGGGCATTATCTGAATAAAAGGATGCTGAGGTGAGGATGAATTTCTTCTGAACGTTGGGAGTCTTTGGAACTCCTTGCCACAGAGAGCTGTGGGCGCAGAGAACTTTTTTGTGCTGCGATTTTGATCAGTAGGGGAATCTAGGATCATTGGGGAAAAGGCAGGAAATGCTGGATCAGCCATGATCCAGTTGAATAGCAGAGCAAGTTCAAGGGGCGGAATGATCGACTTCTGTTTCTGTTTCTTATGTAATTTAAATTGGATCCATCAGGTTTAGATCTAAAATTATTAAATCAGCAACTAAAAAGAGGAGTTGTGCAGTGATAATGTCAGTGTGCCTAGTAATCCAGAAACCTAGACTTAGGTTCCAGGATCTTGTGTTTGAATGCTACCATAGATGGTAAAATTTAAATTCAATAAAACCTAGAATTGAAAGCTAACCTAGCGGAAACCTGGTAACCAGTCAATTGTTATAAAGAGAAAAGCTATCTGGTACACGAGTGCCCTTTATGGAAAGAAATTTGCCATCCTTGCTCAATCTGGCTTACATGTGACTCCAGCCCCACAGCGGCACAGTTGACTATCAACTGCTGTCTGGCCAAATAGGGATGGTCAATGAATGTTGGCCTAGCCAACAAAATGCCCACATCCCATGAACTTTTTTTTAAACAAATGCACTAGCTGCCCACCATAGAACAAGTGGCCTGATGACAGATGTGGGAGGACAGAGGGGTAAGGGAGAGGCAGCAATAATGGGTACACCACTTCTGGGTTCCAGGCACGCAGTGATAATACCAGTGACAGTGGGCTTGCAGCTGAAGTGTGTTGGTCGGAGCAAACCTTAAGTTTTTCCTAATTTCGTTCCTGAATACACAACTTTCAATTTATAGATTAAACTCTCAATTCTTAATTTCCCATGTCAGACGTTTCTCCTGAATTATCTTATCAGATCATTCTGACATTCTAAGCACGTTGACCAGACTACCCTCCAATTTTCTAAATAAAGTAAATAAGAGGCAGTTTTGTACAACTTTCTAACCCCTTAAATATCAGTTTAAAAAGTCCTGGTGTATCTGTGCTTTACCCCCTCCAAGGCTAAAAAAAATTCTTCCCAAAATGCAGTGTCCACAACTGAATGAAGTTTCTTGGTTTCTGTCTGGAACTTACAGGAAACGAGCTATTTTGGATCTGTTAATGCGTAATAGGGTAGGATTAAATAATTAATGATAAAAGATCATCTAGATAAAATTGAGAAAAATATGGTAGATTTTTGTGTTCAATTTGAGATTGAGAAATGCAGCCCTGAAACTAGTGTCTTGCCTTGAAATGGCTTTTATTTAATTTTGTTATGGACCAGATCAAACCCCCTTCATACATATCAAGGAGATGGTCTAGACCCTAACTTTTATTTTATTTAAAGGCAAACTTAAGGTGCTATGTTCCAGATGTAATTCAATTGGTTACAATTCTCGGCTTTAAGAAAAACCCACTTTATTCTTATCCTACAGTTAATATACAAACAAAGAAGGAAGAATTGGTATAATTTTAACTCTATTGGAAAACTTAATGGAATAATAGATTATAGAATCCCTACAGTGTGGAAACAGGCCCCTCGGCCCAACAAGTCCACACCGAACCACGAAGCATCCCACCCAGACCCACCCCACCTATGCCACACATCCCTGAACACTATGGACAATTTAACGTAGCCAACCCACCTAACCTGCACATCTTTAGACTGTGGGAGGAAACCAGAGCACCAGAGGAAACCCACGCAGACACTGGGAGAATGTGCAAACTCCACACAGACAGTCACCCGAGGGTGGAATCGAACTCGGGTCCCTGGCGCTGTGAGGCAGCTGTGCTAGCCACCGTGCTGCCTTTTTTATTTAATAACTGAACAGCAAGTGTTCCGATATACATTCGTTTCTGTATTCCCGTGCAAATTGGGTTATAGAAAATCATGCTGTAGAAATAACAGGACCTATGGGAAAACAGGGTTACAGGCAGACCACCAAAAAATGTCGTTTGAAATTGCTCAAAAATCTCTCAAAAGCCTAATACAAAGGATAGCACAATTTGAATAAATGTTTAATTCATATCTAATAATTAAATAAAAGTAAATTTAACACAATGCCTTGAAAAAATGTCAAGATGATTTGATGGAGAGGAGATTTTGAGGTTGTTCTGTTATTAATGCAGGGGCTGAGGGTCATCGTCGTCGTCGTTGTTGTCATCATCATCATCAGCACCTTCAGGTGCAGTCGTGGTTGCAGGGTTAGGGCAAAAAATAGTTCATCCAGAAGTTGGGTGGTGTGGTTCATTGTCTTCTGACTGTTTCTTGAGGGTTGGCTTAAAAAAGACAACTAGTTCTTGCTGCTTTGCCCTTTTTCTTCTTTCATGAAGAAGCTGTTCATAGGGTGCCCAATAAGATCTTATTCCACACACTGCTACCATGCTGCATTCTGCATTGTAATCATTGTCCTCGAAGAGCTGCAACTGCTTCTCAATTTCCCTCAGAAGACAAAACCGAAGTGGAAAGCTCTCCGGGTGCTGCATCCTGGACTACTTCATCTTCATCTCCAGCTTCCACTTTCCCCCTCAGCAACAAATTGTAGATCAGCTGTAGAGAGGTCTTCACAGTGGGACTTGAGCAGCTCTCCAACATTCTTCCTCTCCACTTCTTCAAATCCAGCTTGCTTTGCAAGATCAATACAATGTTCTTTGATTCTTGAGAGCTCCTTTAACGGATCAAAGGTTTTAAAATCATGAAAAAAGTCTGGGAGAAGCTACTGCCAAACTGCATGTAAGCAGTCCTCACTGACATCACCCCAGGCCTCCATGATAATGTCAATTGCATACTTGATGTTAAAATCTTCCAAAATTGAAGAACACTGTCCTTACTCCCCCTCAGCGGCTGCAGTCAACCTCTTAATTGTGCGCCTTAAATATATTAAGCTTTAAAAGCTGCTATTGTACCCTGGTCCATGGGTTGATTAAGAGAGGTTGTGTTTCAGGGTAGAAATAGCACTTTGTTTTCATCACCAGTGATGGGAAGATGCCTTGGTGCCTTTATCCAGGATGAGGAGTCTTGGAATCAGAATTTTTTTTCCTGCAATACTTTCTAAAAACATCTACCAAAACATCATCAGTAAGGTCAGGAGAAACTTGCCCTGTCATTCCAACCTCTTTTGCTTGACCTAAAGTAGATGCCTAGAGTAGACTTAAGGTAATCTTTCAAGGCTCGCAGGTTGGCTTTAGCTTTAAGCTTGCAGCTTAAGCTTTAACTCTCCATTGGCATCCAGCAGCACAGTTATATGATCCTTTGCCACCTTAAAGCCTGGAGCATGTGCTTCATTCGTAGAAATGTAGGATATTGATGACATTAGCTTCTAGTATAAACCTGTCTCATCCAAATTGAAAATTTGATCTAAGTTGTAGCTTTCTTGGTTGGTTAATGTTTTTACTATGGGAGGAAATGCCATTGTATGCTCCTTGTCTGCACTGGCAACTTTGCCACATAACTTTACATTATGAAAAGCATAGTGGTTCTTAAAACCAGCAAACAAGCCACTGCTGGCACTAAAGGCCGGCACATCTGCAGGATTTTCAGTTTTTTTTTTAAAAGATCTTGGGGCGGCACAATGGCTCAGTGGTTAGTAATGCTGCCTCAGCACCAGGGACCCGGGTTCAATTCCACTCTCGGGTAACCGTCCGTGTGGAGTTCGCACATTCTCCGTGTCTGCATGGGTTTCCTCTCCGTCCAAAGATGTGCAGGCTAGGTGACTGGCCATGCTAAATTGCCCATAGTGTTCCGGAATGTGTAGGTTTGGTATATTAGCCATGGGAAATGCAGGGTTACAGGGAAAGGGTAGGGGGAGATGTCTGGGTGGGATGGTCTTCGGAGGGTCGGTGTGAACTTGTTGGGCCAAAGGGCCAGTTTCCACACTGTAGGGATTCGATGATCTGCATAAATTGATACGGCTTTCTCTTTTATGTTGAGAAAGGTGGACCCAGATCGCTTTTTCATTTGATCTTCTATCCACACATTTAGCTGCTCCATCTCCTCAAATTCCTTTGTTTGTGACATCGCAGATTTGCTAGCACTCAGTCTTGTTGCAGCAGTACATCTTACTTTAATCTTTTCTGCATTGTCTCTAATGGCGCATAAGGTAAATTCCTTTATTGCTATTACAGGAACTATATCACATGTTCTCTTTTTCACTCAACACTTTATAACAGCTTCTCCTCCAGGTTTATAGCCTTTTGTTATGTTCACCACTGCAATTTTATCATCAGGATGCTTCTTGCTAACGTTCTTGTCACTTTGCTGTATTACCCACTAAACTCTGAGGACAGAATTTGCAAAAAAAAAGACAAAAACCAGAGTGCTGTACCTCTCTCGGAAAGCACTCCACAACAAAGTCTGCGAAATGATCACGTGGAGGTTCTTTTGGCACTAACAGCCTGCGAAATGATCATGTGATGTTGGTGCATACTGCTCCGTGCCCTGATGGAATCCCGTTTATAGCTAACACAAGTGCATGTTTTAGAAATAGTGTTCCGCTATTCGTCAGTCGCGTTATAGCCAATTCGTGTTGCTGGAACGTTGCATTTATAGGAGAACCAACTAGTAACATTCCATAAACATACCCTTGGCAAAGGCAAATTCAGGAAAATAGATTCTCCTATGCAGTGTTTCTCTAATCCAGGGCAACAAGATAAACTGAGAGCAAGAATTCCTATCTTTTGCTGTGGTTGAGAGAGATGTAACAGCTTCCACAGCCAACTTTAAAATCCCCTAGCTACTGAAAGTAACCTAAACCTCTGGTTCTGTGGAGCCTAACTCCATCCATTTCATGCTGCTTCTGTTGTTCCAACTTTAAAAAAAAACCCCAAGGCCTCGAGCTGTTTAGTTTACTTTATTGGCTTGGACAACATAGCTTGTCACTTATGGCTCAAAACCTCTCCAAAAAAAACTCGGACAAATACCCACCTGTCAAAACCATAATATTGTCACATTATGAAAACAATAAGTAAAAAGTGCCATGGGAAAATGGTTTAGACAAAGATAATACATTCAAGCAGAGTCATAATGGTTTTGTGAACGGGGTATTGTTTCCAAAACACATTCATTCTTTAAGCATCTACAAAGTCTGTTGATCTTATTCTTACCTTCACCCTTTCCGGACCCCTCTCTGTTACCCCATCATTCCCTGACTGCTCCCTGTTTCTCTTTCCTGGCAGTTTCCCCATTTTCCTCTTATCTCCTTTCCTAGCTAAACTGCCCCTTTCCATCCTTGACTTTTCTTCCCCCTTCCCCATCGCTTTTCTCCCCTGTAACTTCTGGGTGAATGGTGACGTGGCTGAGGCTTCCCTTATTGCTTGGCAGGATGTGGAGAGTGACCTTTTGGTACAGATAAACATGAAGCAGGAGATGGAGCTGGCCATGAAACTGCTGGAGAAAGATATCCATGAGAAGCAGGATGCACTGATTAGCCTTCGGCACCAGCTCGAGGAGGTGAAAGCTATTAATGTGGAGATGTTTCAGAAGCTTAAGGTAAGCAGCTTTGAGTCATATGCTGTTGATTTCCAATATTGTGAGAATTTAAAAACATTTTAACATTTTGAATGTAAGCATTGAGATGACCAGTTGTTATTGCAGTAAAGCTGTCTTGTATGCAATATAGTCTTCAGGTTAAGTGGATACTTCATCCTCTTTTGAACTCCTAAATTCACAAGAGCATAGCTCAACCCATCAAGTAATTTTGATCATTCTGGTAAATCTGTTTCTCTCCCTTCAAGGCCAATAAATCCATCCTAGGGTAGTCCTCTGAACTGCTTGCAGTAATCGGGATCTGTAGGTGCAGTCTTAATGTGGTTTTGTATAGCAGCAGCATAAATTCTACCCTCATGTATTCCATTCTTCAGATACAAAGGCCTGAATTCCATGAAAATATGAATATTTTCTGTACCTGTTTTGGAATTTTAATGATCTTTGTACTTTTTCATAATTTAGAAAGTACTGTTCTATCCTATTTAAGTCTAAAGTGAATAACCTCATGTTTGCCCATATTGAAATCCATTCACACAGGCTCATATATTTAATATATCAATGTCTCTGGTAGCTTTCTGCCCACCCACATTCCTGTTTTTATTGTTCATTCATGGAACGAGGACATCGCTGGCGGTTGCCCTAATGTGGTGGTGAGCTGCTGCCTTGAACTGCTGTCCATTTGCTGTAAGTAGACCCACAATGCCATTACAGAGTGAATTCCAGGATTTTGATTCCATGACACTGAAAGAATGTCAATATACTTCTAAGTTAGAATACTAAGTGGCTTAGTGGAGAACTTGTAGGTAGTGGCGTTCCCATGGATCACCTTGTCCCTTATAAATGATATTCATTGTGGGTTTGGAAGGTATTGTCTAAGGAATCTTGGTGAAATTCGGCAGTGCTTCTTGTAGATAGTGGAGGGAGTGAAGATTTGTGAATGTGGTTCCAATCAAGTGGGTTATGATGTCCTGGAAGGTTTAAAGTATTGGCAAAGATCTGTAGCTTGGGTTGTGGATGAGGTTGTTGACTTGCTTGCCAAGCTGGCTTGTTTTTGTTCAGATGGCTCGTCACTGTGCTAGGTGACATCATCAGTGGAGCCTGCGATGAAGCGATGTCATTCTACTTTGCTTGGAATTTATGCCATTCAGTCTGTTATGGTGAGTACTGTCATTTCTGGTTTTGATCTGTATGTGTTTATAAATGAGGTCCAATTCTATATGCTTGTTGATTGAAGTATGGGTAGAGAACCATGCCTCTAGGAATTCCCGTGTGTCTCTGTTTGGCTTGGACTACTGTGGTTACTTTGTTCCAATTAAACAGATCGCCTTTGCTGTCTGAATGTGCAAATATTAAGGAGGGTTCATCATGCCATTTTGCTGCTAGCCGATGTTCGTGTATTTTGATGGCTAGTGTCCTTCCTGTCTGTCCGATGTAATGTTTGTGGCAGTCATTGCATGGCATTTTGTAAACCACGTTCATTCTGCATGTTGTGGGAATGGGTTCTTTAATCCTTGTAAGTGTTTGTCGTAGAGTGGCTGTGGGCCACCATGATTCCAGGTGGTCTGGGGAGTCTTGTCAGTTCCGATATGTTCCTGATGTAAGGAAGTGTGGTGTGTGTGTTAGGTCGTACTGGTATCCTCGTGTCTGTTATGTAGGCATCTATGGATGAAGTCGCGGGGATATCCGTTTAAGGTGAGGATCTTGTGCAAGTATTCTTCTTCCCAGCGTAATTCTGGAGTGTTGCAGTATGTCCTGACTCATTTAAATAGTGTCCTAATGCAGCTCTGTTTGTAATTGTTGGGATGGTTGCTGTGGAAGTTGAGGATTTGATCAATATGGGTTGCTTTTCTGTATACTAAGGTTTGGAACTCCCCGTTTGTCGGTTGTTCTACCTTAACATCCAGAAACGGAAGTTGATTGTTGATTTCTTCTTCCCTTGTGAATTTAATCCCGGTGATTACGCTGTTGATGCGGTGGTGGGTCTTTGCTAATTTGTTGCGTTTAATGACAAATGTGTCATCTACATACCAGATCCACAGTTTAGGTTGAATGTGGTGGAAGGTAGTGTGTTCCTAGTCTTTGCATGACTGCTTCTGCAATGAGTCCTGAGATGGGTGACCCCATGGGTATGCCAGTGATCTGTTTGTATGCTTGACCATTAAAGACGAAGTGTCTGGTGAGGCAGATGTCTAGTAGTTTGAGTATGTTGTCATTGCTGATGGAGTTGCTGGTCTGCGTTGCTGTTTCCTCTAGTAATGTGGCCAGTGTTTCTTTGGCTAGTGGGATGTTAATTGATGTGAATAAAGCTGTGACGTCAAAGAATACCATAACCTTGTCGCTGATTTTTATGTTCTTGAGGGTGTCAAGGAAATCTTGGGTTGAGTGGATAGAATGAGGTGATCCATCTAGCAGGTTTTTCAATTTCTGTTGTAGGTCCTTAGCCAGTTTGTACGAAGGTGTGCCTGGTAGGGAGACAATGGGTCTGAGAGTGATGTCTGTCTGGTTTATGTACTTTAGGCAGTCCATAGAAGCGGGGCTGTTTGAGCCCTCTGGTTTCGTTCTCATGAAGTCTGTCTTGGTTATCTGCCCTGCATTCATTAGTCGCTTCAGTGTCTGGGTGATCTTATCACCTAATAAAAACCGAAAGAACTGTGGATGCCGTAAATCAGGAACAAAAACAGTTGCTGGAAAAGCTCAGCAGGTCTGGCAGCATCTGAGAAGGAAAAAACAGAGTTAACGTC